CAATTGTGTTAACCTGCTAGTGTCTACGTCTATATCCAGCTGCGCGATTCGGTTCTCGTCAGATCACCGATAATAAACCGTTTTAGAGCGCTCTTGGATGGGTAATCATCTAAGAACCCCGTGCAACGTAGGCACCACAAACAATTCTTTTGAGTTTTTCAAACAATATTTTTCTTTTCTTTCTTTTTAATCATTTTTTTCATTTTAATCAATCGTCGATTGATGATAATACTCGATTATTAATTCAAACCATAGACTTGGGTATAAGGAGCGCTAAATATTCTTAGCCCCAGAAAATGTAAAAAAAATATTTTTTTTAATCTTCTCTTCGTTGCTCTCAAAGGATATTGAATTACTAAACCCACTTCAAAAAAAGTCGATGCATTTTTTAAAATCTTGCTTTGACTTACACAATTTTTTTTACTCTGCCACTTGCAGATTTACAGAGGAAGGTACTCGCCATCTAGTGGTGGAGGCTGGGTTCAACTCTTTAACGCCTGAAATGACCATTTTTGGACAACATTTATAGCGATTAATTACACCGACTAAAAATTGTTTAAAAAACTTTTCAGACATCATTTCTCACGTAAAATTTAATGTACTTTTTGAATCCGGGGTCAGAATTAAAAAAGTTATAAACAATTTTGTAAAAAAAAACATGAAATTTCGAGAAAAAATCTCGTTTAACTCAAATTTCAACATGAAGAAAAGGTTCGCTCGTGCGTCTCATGCATATAAATTTGGTCAATGAAAGTACTTTGTCCTGTTAAATACTTACAAACACATAAATTAACTGGTATAAGTCTATGAACCTTCAGCGATAAGCATTCGGGATATCTAAGCCGTTTGCCGTAAGATTCCCAGTGTTTGCATGACACGACTAAGTTGAAGGTCAATTCATTTTCTTTGATGGATTTTTATCTATCAATGGAACCTCATGCTAAGCATAAGATCAACTTTGACTACTTCCACATACAATTTAATAAAATATTTTACTAAATTTTTTCAAAAATGATCATTAATGAATAAAATATTCTATTCGACGCCACGTTTGATAAAATTTATCCACCTATGCTATTGATTTATACAGTTATTTTCATTTTACCACTTGCAGGTTTATAAATACAGGTATTTATTTATTTATTTATTTATTTATTTATTAAATTACCACCCTTCGTACTGTATGGTACGAATGCCTACAGGAGGCTCAAAAGCCCCTGCTAGGAGGCACTTACAACTAATATTATCAATAAAAAAGTATAAAACATTGTAACAAACTTAAAATAATTATCATATAACAGATTATTTATAGGATTAAATTACTATATCACATACTACAACCATATTACTTGCTTTCGAATCTCTTTCTTTAATTTGATGTTGAGATTCTTGCTCAAGGTCTTGCTATTTTGTGGTAGTTCATTATAGCACTTGACAGCACAGCATATAAATGTTCTATGTCCGATGTCTACAGTGTGCAATGGGAGTTGCACACTTCTATTACTTGTCCTTGATACGTTATATTGTCTCAACAGAGACTTCCACATGAATGCATGCCTAATGCAGAGCGGCTTATCAGTATCTTCCGACTGTACGCCAATTATTTTCAGTAGCCTTTTTTCCACTGCAAGTAAGGGTCTCAGTTTAGTGGTGTAAACTCCACCCCAGCCAATGATCGCATACGTGGCCAGACCATAAAACAGTCCATGCATAATCTGTATTAACTGACTTCTTCGTAACAAGTAAAAAAATTTTATAAAGTTTTTATAAAATCGATCCTATAAAATTATCGCTTTATAAAAACTTTATAAAAACTTTATAACAAAAACAAAATTTTCGATGTTTTTATAAATTTTTTATACAGTTTTTATAAAGTTTATACCGCGATAATTTTATAGGATCGATTTTATAAAAACTTTATAAAATTTTTTTACTTGGGACAAGCTTTAGTCTATAGAAAACGTAGATCAGGTACTTGGTTCTTCTCGTTATGGCATCTATATGCGCGTCCAACTTCATTAGTTCATTTTCAAAAGTAACTCCAAGATATTAAGTTGTGCTCACTTTATTCAACTTTGTCCCATTCGTGTATACATCTAAATTTGGTGGCAACGCTTGACGAGTCCTTCCAAAAGCAATATATACTGATTTACCCATATTTATAATAAGCCGATTCTCATACAGCCAAGCATAAACCTGGTCCAACTTCCTTGATAATTTATCGCCCAATTGAGTCCAAGTATCTGCACTCATAAAAATCGCCGTGTCATCCACATATGCGATTACGTTAGTATGGTGGTGCAATAGATCATTGATGAACAATAAAAACAATAATGGTCCAATTATAGATCCTTGAGGTACACCAACATTTGTGTTGGCTGGTGTACTTCTCACTCCATTCACCTTTACCACCTGAGTTCTGTCAGCCAAATAATTTTCCATGATCCTAAGGGCCACTCCACGAATCCCCATGTTGTACAATTTTAGCAGCAATATTCTGTGGTCTACCGTATCGAAAGCCTTGGCGTAATCCAAAAACACTACAACGGATGGTTTCTTCATGCATAGTCCTTCATATATCGAACCAGTTCGCCATTTAGCGGTGGAGGCAGGGTTTAATTATGAATGAATTTTCATAAAGGTTTTTTACATATCACATGTGTAGTTTAAAACGTTTAAATTTGAGCATTTTTGCATTAAAAATAGTGCATACGATTATATTTTCGTGCACTTTTCGTGCAGTTTATGTAAAAGAAATAAATCGAAGCAGTGATAAATTAATTTTCAACGAAGATATCGAGCAAAAATATCTTGAATGGAATTCAGTGTTGGTTACTTTTATTTTACAGTCTGAATTTTCATTATAGAGTATAGACAATAACTTATAGTACTTCGTAACGAGGCGATGCAAAAAACTTTCGAGCTAATTTTCGTGCATTGTGCTTCTTATGGGTATAATTTCATCGGAATTGCACTTACGCGCACTTCGATATATCAGTGCTGTCAATGTTTCAAGGCGCAAACGCGTCACGATTAAAGTTTATAACGGCATTTCGTTGCGCTACTAAATTCGATGTTCCAGTATCAAAGAAGTACTAAAGGCTACTTCAACTTATAGGTACTTTGGCTTGGTGTTCATCTCCAAACGTGTCCTCGTTCATCGAACATAACGAACGAATTTCCCACATTTTCGGGCGGCTCGCATTATTACGAGGCAAAAACTTAATTTTAACACGAGTATAGCAGAAGCAGCCGGTTGTGCTTCGTAATTTTTCGGCGTACCATGAATATATATCTTCTCATATACGAGCACCGCACGCGAGCGCGTATAAGACCACGTAATGAAATAGCCTATATTATATAGCACGAAGCGATTTACGCGATCGCTATATATAAAACGTCGAAATAATCGTTCGTACGTACTCGAGTTACGAATGGAAAGTGCAGCTCACGAGTTATATCGCGCCATTCGCGTGCGTGGCGTCGTCGTGTCTTCGTTCGTAAAACAAAAAAGAAAAAAGAAAAGTTTCCAATGTGCAACGCGCGCGCGCGCGCGTTAATGGTCAATTTTTGGAAGGTGAGCTCATCGGCTGCCGCATCGCGACAAATAAATTATAAACATATTCGCATGCATATGCATCGATACAAATGCTCGCGCGGCTGTGGCGTCGGCCGATCGCGAAGAAGACGACGACGAAGAAGAAAAGGAAAACGTGCGAAATTCCATCGACGCGGGTAATTTACGCGCGCGCGCGCGCGCGAGAGAGTGTCTTGTATATCACACACACACACACACACACACACACACACACACACACACTGGCGTAATATAATGGAGGAATTGACTTTCTGAATAGAAGCCATCGTCGTCGTATGGCTGTGCGCGCGAGGCTGTCTTTTCAACGAATTGATTGAGCGCAAAATTGCTGCGAGGAGATCCGTCGTGTCCGCGCGCGCTCGTTTCAATGTCGTTTGCATTGCATTGATATTGACTTTTGCCGAGCATCCGATACGCACTGTATATATATCGGGGCTTTTACCGCGCGGCTCGTGCGTATATAATAAAGAAAAGAAAAATGTGCGCATAGAGGAAGAAGATTCAAATGGTTCGTAATAATAATCGAGTGTACTAACAGCCAACGTGTTCCATGACGTCTGGGATTTATGTATCTTCCTTTTTCTCAGCCTTTTCTCCGAAGTTCACAGCACACTCGAAACACAGCACCCGATGAAAATACCGATCCTCGCTGCGGATGTATTTATTTCTCGCACTCTTCTCGATCTCTGCGCGCGGCGTTAAGATTCAATACTGGCCGATCTCGGCTCTTCGATTTTCATTATAAAGCACTCACCGACGAGTGTGTGTATGAAAGTATGCGTGAGCTTATGATCATGGTCATCATCATCATAAGATCGTTTTACGTTCACAAGACGGGAGAAATAGAAGACGAAATACGGATGAAAAACGAGTATATAGTAGCATATGACAGAAAAAAAATCGCGGACTTTGATTAACATACGCGCCATTAGAGACGCGACAAATGCGTCCGAATAAAAAACTTTTTATAGGTACGGAAAAAAAGGCAGCAGCAGCAGCCTCCAGACCTCGGTACATTACATACTACACACACACACATTCATACATTCGCAATAAATCTCGGGACAATATCTCTCGTTCGTGCGGGTGTGTGTTTGTGTAGCGTTTGATCGAATCAAAACGTGAAAAATAAATGATATGCATCGATCGGTGACGTGGGTCTCTGTTTCGTACTCGTACTCACGTTTCGCGCGTGTGTGCTTTAATAGAAGCACACATTTATATGTGTATGTGTGTACGTTGACACCGAAATGAAGAGAGAAAAAAAGTGCCGCGTACGATTTAATTTTTCCACGCGTGTGCGACGTTTCGTCATCACTTCGACCAAGTTCAATCGCTTCCTATATACATATAAGTATATAGTACACACAAAATAAGAATATATGCGTAGCATTGACCTTACCTTTGACGTAGTTCGGCATCTCCAGCATCATTACCTGAGCCGATGACATGTATGTGGGATTATATATGGAAGTTACGCACAAAGGGGAAAAAAAGACAGATCGGCACACAAGTTTACACCCGCGCAGTTTCTGTGATTTTTATAAAATGCAGTCACGAGATGCAGCGACGAGACAGAGACCGCGAAGAACTACTGACGTACGGAACGGACGGACGGACACTTGGCAGTGCAGCGACTTCGCACAACTGACGACACCGAAAAAATCGGGGGATTTATATCGGAGGCGCGAAAATCGACTGTTGATGTCTGTGTGTGTATATCGGCCTGCACGTCCAGCAGAAGTGAGCCAAGACTCTGTTTTTTTTTCTTCGTGTTGCGTTGAGATCGTGGCTTTTATTCCGCGTTTCACGACGCGATGCGTGCGTGTGTGTGTGTTTAACACACAAACACACATACATTCGCAAACAATGGCACGCGACGATTCACGAATCTCCGCGCGCGAGCGGCTTTACAAAAACAAATCCCCCGCGTCGGTGCAAACACACAACGCGAGTGGGAGTGTGTGTGGCAGGCGTAATATTACTACTTTTTTCTTTGAGAGGGAAAGAGAAAGAGAAAGAGCGAGAGGGAAATTTTACCGAACACCCGTTAACGCGAAAACATACCGTACGTAAAAGGTTCTCTTTTATTCTTTTCGAGATGATCGATGAAAAATGTAATAAACATCGATACATGTCGGTACACGAATAAACTCAGTTCGCGATCGATTTTAAAAGGTACGCGACGATGACTCATCGATGGAGGTATGTACGAAATTGTAACGAGCTTTCGATAAATATATTTAATTGTACTCGGCGCGTGAATTTCGCGCTAATAACCGATTCTCGTATACGGTTAACTATGATGTAAGGATCGACGTACACCTGCGTACACACCATTGCATAATCGAGATTTATATTTTCATTTCGACACGTATCTAGGTACATATAATGTTTTTATATTATCATAGCTTTTGCGGAACCGACCCGCAAAAAACTCGCGTATACGAATGTAAGTAACGACGTAGAGATTTTTTTTTCTTTCATCCTAATGAGTGCGTGTAATTAGGAATTAACAATGTGTGTATGTGTGTGCTCGCGTGGGCGACGACGCATCAAGATGCTTTTAATTGCATTAAAACCAACGTGTAGAATCCGACTCACACACGTGTAATACGCGCGGCAGCGAAAAAAAACGTAAGCTTTTTTTTTGCGCTCTACTCTCTCTTTCTGAGCCAAAGTTAACCCCGCGCCCTGAAAATTCTCCTCTCTCGCGCGCGCGCGCGAGCTCATCTCGTGCGCTGCTTCTTTCTATATATATTAGGCTGCTGCTGTCGCAGGGCGAGGGGTTGCGAGGGGGATGCATTACCTCTTGCGGGTCGACAGCAGCAGCAGCAGAAAAAAGTAGATTAAGGAGGCTTTAGTATCATCAAGCCGGGACTGAGAGAGGTTTCAGCTCGCGAGGGGGCACGTATTGTATCGCAAAACCTAATTTCGTTAAATTTTTTACAAGTATTACTCGTGCATTAATTATAAAAAGACAGACGCGGGGCTCGATGCAGAAAAAAATTATTGAAATAAAAATGACGTTGTAATTTCCTTTTGATCGTATCAATGGGATAGGTCGACTAAAAATTGCATCTTCGCTCTTTATTATTGCTTAATTAAGCATGTTAAATTTAATTAATACAATAAGTTCCAGGCTCATTCATGATTTTTTTTAATCACCGAAGCCTCTTTGAACGAAGCTTGCGAAAAAAAGGTCGGTTAATGATTCACGTGCGACTGCCGGGCTTTGTATGTATGCGTGTAATTTTTGAATATATATCAGATGTCACGTTGAATTTTTTAACGATTTGGATTGTGTTACTCGTGTAAAATTAAATATTTCACGGGTATAGAGGTGTCCAATTAAAAAAGTACAAATTTCATGCCTTCAATTTCTCGCGAAAAAAATTGCTTCATTTTTCGATCTTCGTGAGCGCGTCGGATCTAGCTTCACAGTTTTGATAGTTATTCGTAGCTTTGAGCTTCATCGCGTCTGATAGAAAAAAATGCAAAAAGTAAATTGATTAATCTTACGAGTCTAGTGCAAAACGACACCTTCGAGTGGAGGTAGGAATTTGACAAAAAGAAATAAAATTTTGTATTTTTCTCATTTTTAGTTGAGTCAGTGTCATTTGTTGACAAAATTTTGTGTCTACGAAATGAAAAAATTCAGCTTTTAGCACTCACCGACGTTGTTTGTTATTTTCTGGAGAAATCTCAAAACTAATTTTCAAATTAGGATTCGATAATCGAAAAATTGAACATTTTTTAAAAAAAATAATCCTTTGTTGAAGATTTGTACGGGCTATTTAGGTTTATTTTAATATATGGTCGACAATTTATGTTTTCATTTGTTCTTTACATTACGCTCGCATTGAATGCATTTACAAACAAATGGGTCATTAAAACATTTGATGACAGTGGGATGATAATGTAAATTTTTCAATTCATCCAGATCTATCTATTTTAAAAACGTTTCTGAGGATTATTATTCAGCGATTACGAAAACAACTCTGTCATCGTTCTAACAAATCTAGTGGTTTTCCATATTTACTTTACAAAACAGCGCCTGAGTCTTAGATACCACTCACGCACATATGTATAGCAGGTCAGCAACTTCGAGGGGTGAATACGTGATGTTATTTGAAGCGATTTCAGAAGTAATTTAACGTTGTAGAATTAAAATGATCTACTATATTTTTGAAGCTGAATTTCCGGTAGAAGATTAAATAGATTAAAAAGTTATAAATGCGCCGTAGTATTCTCTGATATACTGCATCGACCTGCTTGCTCGGCTGTCTCCAATCCGAAATCATCAGCTTCATCGCTAATTAATCTAAAAGCCATCCTCACTTACCATCAATGGACCGACACTCTATTCACCTTGAAATCTGACCTGTGAATTGGCTAAGAAATTGAACATTTTAGGTCTAAAAATCAAACTGAAAATCCACAAGGATTTTCGTAAGATTTTAGAGGCTCGCTCAAATTTGTTCAATAAAACATTGCGTTTAAAGTGCAAGGTCAAGCAAAGCAGCTTCATTCATATTAAGAATTACTGTAAGTACTGGATTATTGTTTTAAAAAAAGTTGTGTAGTAAATACGAAAATATTTAATGGGCTACTTTAATATTCAGTACAATGGCGAGCCTAATATGTAAAGACGTAGAAAACTATATAGTAGAGACGTAAAGTTCTAATCAATAAGAAAAGGATGTTAATATTTAAAATGTATGCATTGAAAAGATTTCCTTTACTTAACCGATTGAAACACTGACCTGAAAGCTGCTATAAACGATACCGATTGTTTGATTATCTTTAAATTAAAATATGATGATTATATATTCAACCTTGAAAATTCCGGACATGCAATAAATTAGCTTACCAAACTGCAGTTTTCAATGTTCAGAGTTATTATCGGCCCAGCCGCTGTATCGAAATCTTTCATTGATCTTCTCATTATTATTAATGACATGAGTTTAGCTTTCGGTGGATAAGTGTACCACTTGATGAAATAACTCCGTCAAATTTTAAACACTTATACATATTATTCTCATTAATATAGTAACTATAAATTTCATGGTTCACTTATCATTCGTTCAACAAATCATTAGTGGCGTTGCTTAACAACTGATTTGGCATACGTATGCAAATGATAATGTCTGGATAAGACATAATTGTAAATAAACTTTTTAAAGCTTCTGTTTGATCTTCATCCCATAACATTGTGATCTAGATTTTTTTTAATTACACAAACCTTATTATAGATACCTCGTGGGTGATAAAATCAAACAGTAAATTAAGATTCACGTCCCCATCATGTTATTACTACTCTTACTAAAGTAAGATTAGTACCGCACGATTACATATTTTGAAGAAAATGAACTTTATAGTAACGAAAGTATAAAGCTATCATTAAAAAATTATCAAAAAAGAATGCAGCGATCGTATGAGCTTATTGAGCAAAGCAATGCAGAGGTATATTTTTTTCAAAATAAATAAAATGTAAGTAAAATTACATGGAAAGTAGATTTTTTTGCACTTTTGAATTGCTTAACTTGCAAAAATCATCCCCTAAAATTTTAAACTGAAATTTGAATGAAATCAGTCAAAATCAAAGTCAAGGTTAAGATCAAACGTATGCATAGCTCCTAATGTCATTTTAAAATGACATTTTACAATTTTATTTGTCTGATCGATGTCATTTCTTCTATTTTATACAGAAATATTTTATTAAAAGATACAAAGTCAGTTAGTAGCATAAATATCGACAATAAGATTTTTTTTCGATTGAATATTTTCTTTTTAAATTCTATATTATACATATTTTCAAATTCTTTTTTATATATTAATCAGAAGATAGCAACTTCATCATACAAATCATATATTTTTTATTTTATTAAAGTAATTAGTAGTGTATTATCATAATATTTATATATTTTAAAAAGTGATGACTTTTGATGTTTTTAAATAAACGCATTGTAATCGGTCGTTGGATTTACGTAGACGGCGTACAATTTGCGCTACCTTGCAAGTTTTTGAATTGATGATAAAGTTTGCGATTGAGAATGGGTAGAGTTTGTAATGGAAGGTGCTAGTTTTAATTTACATCAATTAAAGGTATATGGTTTATCTGATTGAGCTAAAAAAATTATTTAAATGTTTTACAAATATCTGCTTGTATTACAAATGAAAAAACCTAGTTAAAAAAAAGGATTTAAAAACTATAAGAGTATCCTTCACTTCATCGATAGAAATGCTGATCTGAAAGCTGCTATAAACGATACTGCTCGTTTGATCATCTTTTATATGAAATGTGATTATTATATATTTAGCCAAGAAATTTTGGAGATGCATAAATAGCTTACCAAGCTGCAGTTTTCAATATTTAAATCGATAAGAGGCCCAGCAGTAAGGACGAAAGGCTTCATGGATCTTCTCATTATTAATAATAATAAGAGTCTAGCTTTCGGTGGATAAGTGTACCATTTAATAAAATAACTAAATCAAATTTTAAAAAATTTAAAAGTTTAACTTGGATAATATAAACTGACAAAATCTTAGAGTAGATCCAGCATAAGTGGATAATTGGATCAAAAGATATTTTTTGCTGATGCAGCAAACTTATTGGGCTCTATTTTTCTTCTAATTTTGCCAAATTAGTTTACTGTGGTAGCAAGATATATTTTTTTGATCAAGTTGATGAAGATTTTT